ATGATGTTATTCAATGTGAAATATATAAAGAGAACGTTAATCAAAAAGGCTTCTTAATATTTCTTAATTTTTTACACTATGGGTTCTGCCACCGTCTCTTCCTTCTAATGTCAAGGATTGCTTCACAGCCAGCTTTGTTGTTGATGGGTATTATTCATTCATAATAATAAAGATTAATGAATAATTATAAAATAATGAGTGTAATTCTTTGCGATTAAGTTTCTTTAATGTTTTAAAAACACAAATAGTAAATATTAATTAAAAACCTATAGGCATTTCGATGGTGCACCTTCACCATTAGGATAAAATACAGGAATGGTAAGAACAGAGATGATTAAAACCCATCAGTGGTTACGTTATACTGAAAGAAAGAAATATGCATATTGCATTGCCTATATATGTACCTGTAGAGTATTTGAGATCAATATAGCTGTACCTTAATCTATTTTATTATGACGACAATTCTGATGCCTCTGACATATAATATATATTGCTTGTCTATCTACCTATTATATTAAAAATAAATATACATGTATATTTGTTGCGTTTAGTACGACGCAATCTCTGTGGGATCAGAATTATTCTGTCTGCTCAAAATGATTGATTTCTTGAAATACTGACTAAAAGAGTGATTGCGTTGCACACATCAATACAATAACTTGATTGCCTCGTAATGGGGATTGTAAATAAATGATTGCTGTTTATCTAAATGAATTCCGCTGTTTGGTCAACAAAATAAAAGCTTTTAAGCGTTGTTTGTACGTACGTACATAAATTGTGCTTACATTCGTGCGTTACTTGGATGTATTGCTGCATGCATGTATACATACTTATGTAAATATTTATAAGTATGTGTAAATACATTACTTAATTGTAAGAATACAACATACATTTTATGTACTTACGAGCATACATTAACTGTATATCAACTCGTTCTTTATTATTACATGCTACATGCATATAGACGTACATAATACGTATATACATAGTACGTAAATTGCATTGTTCATGCAATGATGGAAATATGATTCCAATATTTTAGTCAGGAGAGCGGTCGAAAGTTTGGACCCCTTTGATGTTACTTTTACTCTTTTTTTACTTAGTCCTATCTTGAGGACTTTTTAAGTGGATCAAATAATTTTTGCATCCAATCATAAAATTCCTTTACCCAAAGACTTTTCCTCGCGAAATTTATTTTTTAACAATTATTTATTACTTTTCATTATTTTATTTAATAATAGTAAAGAAATGTTTGAACTGAAAGGTATACAATTTCTTACGTGATTTCAAAGGTTGTAATTTTGTATGGAAAAATACAATGTATGGGAAATCGGTCGAGTAGTTCTTGTGAAATAAAAGTTTAAATGTTTGACATTTTTAATCATGTCTCTATAATACAATCATGAACAAATTTTGATAACTTATAATCATTATTATAACACCGATTACATCTTATAAACATAAATTTTGATGACGTGTTATAGTTTTCTGTTGTGATTACAAGTTATAATAACCGCTTCTAATAAAAAAAATATGATTATTAATTATAGTGATTACTTGTAATTTTGAATACAGGCAATTGTTTACTAAAAATTATCAGCTGTTATTAATTACAACTAAAATCGATGAATCGATCAGCTTCAAGTTTTTCCTGCAGCAATTATATAATGCAAATATTATATAATAAGTGCAATTTACAGCGGTTATTTTAAACATTATTCAGAACAATTAGTTGAAATTAATGAATTTAGTTGCATCATTATTCAAAAATTTGCATAATGAATGATGTATAATGATTAAATATACATATGAACAATTATTTGGAACAAATTTCGTATGATTAAATTTAATAATGTCTGAAATTTCATTTCTTAGAGATAGGTAAGCAAGCTTTATTTGATAAAGTAATAATAGTATATATGACACACTTGTGTGTTGTATGCTTGTATAAGATGCACTTTTAATGCTGGTGTATAAGTAAGCTTAAAAAGGTGTATTATTATAATACTTGTATATTATAATTATTATAATACAAGTATTGTATTATTATAATACAAGTATTATTATAATACTTGTTTGCATTACATGTTTACATTTATAACATTAATATTTCATTAAGAAACAATTTTCATTTATTTATAATTTTAATACAAATAGATCTGAATATCAAATCACTTAGAAACAATTTTATAAAGGCCTCTTTAAAAAAAAAAGGTTTTCTTAACAAACTATTAATTAAAAAAGTAACACTCTGTATTATTTCATAGTTACAAAACTCCTTGACTTACCTGTCCATCCCAATACTTAGTACTTTCATCAAATGTGGATTAGATTGGTTACATCGTAGATTGATTAAAGAAATTATAAAACAAATTAATATAGTTGTACAGCAAAAAAGCAAATCGTTATAAAGCAGATATTTACTAAGCAATAAAGTAGTGATTAAAAGCAATTATTCTTGACAGTTTAGAGCAATACTTGTTGTTTTTTATTGCTGGGTAAATAGTTGTTTTTCATTGTCTCGACCAGTGATTCTCAATCTGTTTTTTGTTGTGGCACACTTTTAACGATTTCGAAATTTGACGGCACACATTGAAAAAAAAATTAGATTAGTTGTTTACTTACCTATTATACACTGTTAAATAGTTTGTGATAACAATTTTGAATGTGAAATAAAATAATATGTACTGCAAAAACATGTTTATTAAGGGATAAATTATTTCTTTCGACTATTTTTTATTAGTTAGTAACAGTTATTTATTTTTTTGCTAGTTATTAATTGTTAGCTTGTTTTCTATATTAACTGTTAGTTTTTTTTTTAACGTTGACTGTTATTTTTTGTGATTTCTTGTTAACTGGTTTCTTTTGCTAATTATTAATTGTTAGCTTATTTTTTTTGCTAGTTTTCCTTTGTTAATTTGTATTGTATTGTTGTTTTTTTTGCTAGTTTTCCTTTGTAAATATTTTATATATTTGTTTTTTTAGTTATATTTTGTTAATTTGTTTATTACTTGCATAGCTTACTTTAATGGTTAGCTTTTATTTCCGTTTGAAAGTTAATATTTAGCTCGCTTTCCTCTGTTAATTAATAATTTTAATAGTCATTAAATTTCCTACTTGTTCCAGACGCAAGTGCGTTAACGCAGAAGCAGTGATTATTTCTTATATTATTTCCTACATTATTCTTTTGTTGGCAACATATTTGTTTTATATATTCTTTGTGTACACTTGTGATAGTAAAGGAGTTTGTTCTATGAGATACTTGTTTTAGTGTTGATTGTAATTAGAAAACATTTACGTTTATAACCAACGCATTTTGGTGCCGAAACAACTCGGTTTAAAATTAAGTACGAATCAGATGAATAATTTACGCAGTTACTCTTTTACTAACTAAACTTCAAACATCAGTATTACTCAATGATGGAGAAACAAAACGAAAAAGAACTTGGCGATAGTCTGGCAATTTTGAAAAGAAAAAGAAGAACAGTGCCAGGTAATGTTACTCGATTTATTACGCAATTAAAGTCTGATCTTTCTGCAACCTCTGACACTTTAAATGAAAATGTCGAATATATTAGTCATCGGCTTTCCGATTGCTTGTTAGAAATGAAGAAATTGGATAACGACATTCATAGTTTATTAACAGATGGTGATTATGACAATGATGTTATTCAATGTGAAGAATACGTGGATAATGCCGAGCTCGCTATCTTTAAAGCAAAAAAATTTGGTAGTAGAAATAATTTTGAATCTAATACGTTGCAATCGCCAGAAGTAACCGTTTCTCAAATACCTGTTACACAAGTACCCGTTATGCAATTATCCGTTTCTCAATCTCACACAGTGAAACTTCCTACTATTAAACTCTTTACTTTTCGAGGTGATATTGAACAATGGCAGTGTTTCTGGGAACAATTTAAATCTTCTATTGACGATAATAATAGTTTATCATTAATTGATAAACATGTGTTTTTGCGAGGATATTTAGAAGATGAACCAAGACGTATAGTCGACGGAATCAGTGTTAGTGCCGACACATGTGAAACTACAAAAGCTCTTCTTCAAAATCGATATGGTGACAAAAACAGAATAATTCAAGCACATTTAGACTTTTTGGAAAATATTTCGCCTATACGTAATCCCACTTCTATTGCATTGAATGAAGTATTTATAGAATGCAACAGAAGACTAAACGCTTTAACGGCTTTAAGGGAGGATATCAACGCTTACGGACGAGTTTTGTCTCCAAAAATTTTGCGTGCCTTTCCGGATGATATTTGTCGCCGATGGATTATTTACGCAAAAAGAGAGAAAATATCTGAAGGTGATATGAATAAACTAGTGCAATATTTATCTGAAGAAGTAGAAGGTGCTCTCACAGCACTAAAAATTCGAGGTGAGCAAAACTTTGATTACGCATTTAAGACATCTACAGAAGCCTTGCATGTGAATTCTAAAAAGATTAACCAGACTAAAAAACCATCTCCATTTTGCCCCTTCTGTGAAATTAACGGTCACTGGCCGCAAGATTGCATGATTATAACTGATATCGATACTCGAATCCAAAAATTAAAAACCTCTGGTAGATGCTTCCTGTGTACTAATCGTGGCCATAGTATAAAAAATTGCCTTAGCAAAGATAAAGCGTTCTGCATAAGATGCAAAAAGAAGCACCCTGTCTCTATTTGTAGAAATAAGAGTTCAAATCAACCTAGCCACTCTATTTCTACAAATAATATAGATACTCGTACACCTAATTTTACTCACTTATAGACTGCTCGAGTATAACTGGCCCAACTGGTATTACTAAGCTTACAAGATGCATTTTAGATTGTGGAAGCCAAACCAGTTTCATTCATTCACATCTTGTAGACTACCTAAAACTAGATGTCATTAGCTCTGATTCACTTGAAATTCATGCATTCGAATCATCATCACATCAGGCTCAATCGAGACGCAAAGTAAGATTCAAACTATCAAGTATTTGGAATCAGTCAGAAATTTATCTACATGCATTTGAAAGTCCTAATAGATATGCAGTTCATCCATCAGTTCTATTAGAGATTGCTTCTACGGCTCTTAAGAAAAAATTTAAACTTGCTGATCCGAATGACGCCATGCAGTAGAAGTTTTGATTGGTGCAGATTTTTACTGGACGGTGATTCTGAGATTCCTTTCAGACTTTCGGAAACAATTGTGCTCATTCCATCAATATTTGGCTGGATTTTGTCTGGATCCAGATCTCATACATCTGTCGCTTCTTTATCGTCATTTCATAATATTAGCATCAAATTACCATATACTTTGGACGATCAAGTTAGGAAATTCTGGGACTCAGATACTTTAGGTATTAAAGCCATACAAGACAGAGAAATGTCCATTCGCAATTCTGAAATATNTTTGGGGGTCCACCGACTGCTCCTAATTTTTAAAACGTTTGGATCTATAATATTTAAATAACATTGATCTTTTCTAAATAACATTCTTCCTTCTAAAAGGCGAAAATACGTACATATTTGAAACTAGGTGATCGAGATACCCCAAATTCAGTACGGACTGCACACAGCCCTCTAATATCACTGTCATATTTTTAACATCCTCCACTAACCGGCTTTCAGCTTTCGCTAATCCACCCCCCAAAAAAAGAAGAAAAAGTTTAAAAAATTCCGCTATTACATTTTGTTTCGTTATTACATATACTTTCATTGTTAATTTTTTTCAAGATTCATTTCTTCATTATTTTTTTTTAAAAAAAGTTCGAATTTGATAGAGGGGCAGCAAATTCATCAAAGCAATGCTTCTGAAGAGTTTACTGCAATTTTCACGAAAGCAGAACACATTTGCGAAGAATTAGGCATTGGAATGAATCGACCTCGAGTGGCATCTAGACAAGTTCATAGATCGAATGTGCCTTCTGAAAACGCAGAAGAATTTTTTTAGGAAATCAATCTATATTCCTTATTTGGGCTTCATTATATCTTCTTTATAGACCGTTTTTCTTCTACACAAAGAAAAGCATTTTCACTCTTACAGCTTTACCCGAATGCGATGAACAAACTGGACGAAGTGTCATATCCTGAAGCTTTAGAAGATATACTATGTATAAAGATCTGCTCTCATCGAATTTCATCACTGAAGCTACAACGTGGTACGAAATGTGGAGGAATAGAGAAAACTCTTATGAATCCCTCGAATACATCGATTTAGTTATTGAAGCCACAACGTTTTATCCAGCTGTAGAAGCAGCAATCAAAATTGGCCTAACTCTTCCAGCTACTACGTGCACTATTGAACGCACTTTTAGTACAATGCGAAGCATCAAAATATGGAATAAATTTACAATGTCTCACGAGCAGGGCCGGATTAAGACCTCTTGAGACCCTAAGCCATTTTCCTTTAGTATGCAACTGGATGAAACTATAAATATCTCGAATTATAGTCAACTTTTTGTTTTTGTTCGTTACGTGTCTCTTGATACTATCAAAGAAGAATTTTTATTTCGTGAGTCTCTTTTGCAAACTACAAAGACAATTGATGTTTTAGCAATGTTAAATGTTTTCTTTACCAAACAGGACTTCGACTGGAAAGAAAAACTTCATTCACTTCGTACAGATGGAGCACCTGTGATGCTTGGCAATAAATCTGGTTTTGCCCTGTTGGTAAAAAAAAAGTCTTCTAATGCTCTTGTTACTCATTGTTTTTCACATAAACATGCGCTGCCTACAAAAACTCTTCCAACCAGCTTAAAAGAAGCATTATCAAAAGTTATTAAAACTGTAAATTTTATTAGACGTAGAGTTCTTAATCATCGTCTCTTTAAAACGCTGTGTCAAGAAATGGCCACAGTAAACGAGGTACTTCTGTACCACACGGAATTGCGCTGGCTGTGACGAGGGCAGGTTTTGAAACAATTTTTCGTGCTGAAGATCGAATTATCACTTGTTCTAGAAGAAAAAGATAACTCATTCTTCGAATATTTAAACAAAAAAGATTTTACCTATAAATTGGCTTACCTGGCAGATAATTTTAACCACATGAACAATATAAGTCTTTTAATTCAAGGACCCGATATCACCATTATGGATGCAACTGAGAAATTACAAGCATTCNTTCTGAAATATTGGAAGACTTTCGCAGTTCTTATGAAGTCCTAGAAAATCGTCGTGTTGTTAGATTACCTTGGAAGAAAGACGTTACTCTTTCTTCAAATAACTATCACGTAGCATCAAAACGCTTCAATACATTGTGCAAGAAGCTCCAAACAGATCCTAGCTTAAAGGAAATGTATGTTACACTCATGGAAGATTACATAGACAAAAGGCAAGTTGAAATAGCACCGGAAAATCATGATAAAGAAGAAAAAAGCTATTACATACCCCATCATGTAGTCATTAAAGAGAAAAACGCAGAAATTAAGAGACGAATAGTGTTCGACGCCTCTTCTCACACACCAGGCCATCCATCATTAAACGATGTTCTAGAACAAGGTCCCAACTTACTTCCAGAAATTTTAGTCACCTTATTACGATTTCGTCTTCACAAACAAGCAATTATTAGTGATGGAAGTCAGGCCTTTTTACAATTAGCCTTGTGGGAAAAAGACATATGTGCTACTAAGTTTTTGTGGTTCAAAACTAGGAAAAATGGTGAGGGACATTTGCAGCTAGAGAATGAATTTGTGGTCTACCAATTTACACGTTTACCCTTTGGATTAACCAGCAGCCCATTCCTTCTTTCAGCTACACTTGACGAATTATCCTGCATGTACTCCAGCATTTATCCCACAGCAGCTAAGCATCTAAAAGGCAATATTTTCATGGATGATTTCGTTGTGGGAGTTGATTCAGAAATCGAAGCGAAAACCCTATTTCACGAAATGCGAGAACTCACGAGTCTTATAAGCCTTACTTTAGCAAAATGGAGTACCAACTCACAAGTTTTGAAAAACGAATGGAAGAAAGAAAAAATAAAGTTTAAAAGTAAGACTCAAGTCTTAGGTGTTCATTGGGATACAGAAGAAGATTCGTTTCATCAAAATATTAAGGAGTATCACCACGATTTATTTAAGGAACCGGTCACTAAACGCTTACTTCTGAAAACAATCTCAAAGATTTTTGATCCCTTGGGAATTTTCTCACCATCTACTGTAGTAGAAAAAATTCTCTTTCAAGATACATGGCTATGTGGTATTGACTGGGACGAACTTTTACCCCCATCTATCGCATCAAGGTGGTCAAAATGGATCATAGACTTACCACATTTAAACAACATTCGAATCCCCAGATGGATTGGAATATCTTCTGCTGATGTTACCATTCACGTATTCTGCGATGCTTCGGAACGTGCTAACGGAACAGTGTTATATGTACGATTCACAGAAGATACTAAATTTCATGTTCGAATGGTTTGCAGTCGTAATAGACTTTCTCCTCTAAAAAGAGTAACACTTCCCCGCTTAGAGCTGTTAGCCGCATTATTGGGTGCTCGATTACTCCATTATTTTTGTACAGAAACTAAACTGGATAGGAACACAGTGACACTTTGGAGTGACTCAACAGTTGCCTTAAATTGGATGAAAGGTGATCCAAATCGTTGGAAAACCTTTGTCTGTAACCGAACAAACGAAATTCTCAATTACACAAATCCAACACAATGGCGGCATTGCCCTAGCAATGAAAATGCTGCCGACCACTTGTCTCGTGGTGTTGCACCAACAGAGCTTAAGTCATTGGATCTTTAGTGGTTAGGACCAACCTGGCTAACACAATCATCAAAAGTTTGGCCTTCAAAACAACTGAGTTACGCTAATCCAGTTATTCATGCTGAACTACGTAAATCAGCTTCTCAATCTTTATTGATAACTTCTTACCAACCTCTTATATAACTTCTTATTAATAACTTCTTACCAACCTGATATATCGCGCTTCAGTTCATATATGAAACTTCTTAGAGTTACAGCATGGATATTTCGCTTCTTGTATAACTGTCGATCCAAGCAGCGCATTTCTATTGATCTCACATGTGATGAGCTTAACACAGCAAAAAACTATTGGATTCTCACAGTGCAAAAGCAATGCTTTTCGGCAGAACTTATCGCTTTACAAAATAATTCCCCTTTGCCAAAATCTTCAGAAATTAGCCGTTTTAACCCATTTCTTCAAGAAAATCTCATACGATTAGGAGGTAGATTACAGTGTGCATCGCTCAAAAATAATCAAAAAGACCCTTTGCTTCTTGATGGCTCTCATCTTTTTGTACATCTTTTCATATACTACACCCACGTGAAGCTTCATCACTTAGGTGTTCAAATAGTATTTTCAGAGATTCGTTCCAACTTCTGGATAATACGAGGACGTGAAACCATTAAACGAGTGCTCTATAAATGTCTACCTTGTAAACTCTCACAGGCATCTAGAAGTCAACAAATCGAAGCTCCTTTACCGAGGGACAGAATTACACCTTGCCTTCCATTTACTACTATTGGCATAGATTTCGCTGGCCCGCTATATGTTCGTAACTTGAAACCTTTAAATACAGCCTGTATCACCCTTTTCACTTGCTCAACTACTCGTGCTGTACATATTGAACTAGTTTCTGATCTCACTACTGACAAATTTCTCATGGCCTTAAAAAGATTTGTAGGCAGAAGAGGAATCCCTCATACAATATACACTGACAACGCCACTACCTTCCACGTCTCTAATAAAGAGCTATCCATTTTATGGGACAACTTGATATCGTCGAAAGTTCAGCAATATTATGCCCAGACGGGAATTAAGTGGAAATTTATTGTTGCACGAGCGGCTTGGTGGGGAGGATGGTGGGAACGTTTGATCGGACTAACAAAAAGATGTTTGCGAAAATCCCTAGGTCGAACCTTGTTAGATGAAGAAGGTCTTTCTACAGCATTAGTTGGTGTTGAAGCCGCATTAAATAGTCGACCGTTAGTTTATGAACAAGGAAATGATGATCCTGAAGAATCATTAACACCATCCCATTTTCTTACCGGTAAAAGACTTACAACCATACCTTNAAATTTAAAGGGTTAGGTATAATTAGAAATAAAATTGTCACGTTACATTAAGTGCAAATGTGACGTAGAGTATATTTTTAAGTGCCTTTTACTGAAAGATTGTTTATTTAGAAATACAGAATTGTTAAAAATAAAAATTCGCACTTGCATTTTACATTTCAAGAAGCACCAAGGATTTAAAGTGAAGTCATCAATAAAATATTTTGCGTTGTTCTCTGAAGGGCAGTCTCAATAATTCCCATTTCTGAATAAAAGAAAACAGCGTTGGCCATTTAGTTCAGACACTTAATTTTTTTTCCACCATATGTATTGAAATGTGAAAATTCAATAATTTGAAATTTGAATACTTAAAAAGCTGGAACAAAACTACCGTGTCAGAATTCACTTTGCATAAAAAAATGAGTTTAAAAAACATTAAAATCGTCATTTTATGTTTGCGTCGAAAATATCTAAAATAAATTGTAGTTCAGAAGAAAATTTAATCTAGTAATATACATATATATTTTGAATAATGATTTAACACTTTCGTACTCTTATTTTTTTTTCTCTAGCGCAATCTTAATGAAATTTTTCTAAGAAGTAAAATCTGAATTTAGGAAGGATGATGGGATTTGTTACTTCCAATCATCCGCTCCAATATTACTTAGAAAAACAATATTCTACAGGCATCGAATTGAATAAAATGCTCTAAATTATTTTCATTTATAATTTCCATATAAAGAAAAAAAAAACTCCTGGTTCATCAGTATCTAACTCAGCGATTCTTAACCTTTTTCTTGGGGCGGTACACTTTGAACGATTTTGAAATTTGACGAGTACACTGTGTTAAATAGTTTGTGATAATAATTTTGAATGTGAAATAAAATATTATGTACGATAAAAGCACGTTTTTTAAGGGAATAATTATTTCTTTCGATTAATTTTTAATTAGTTAGTAACAGTTATTTTTGTTTTGCTAGTTTTTAATTGTTAGCTTGCTTTCTATAGCTATTAACTGTTATTTTTTGTGATTTCTTGTTAACTAGTATTTTTTCTGATTATTAATTGTTAGCTTATTTTTTTGTTAGCTATCCTTTGTTGATTTGTTCTTATAACTATTAATTGCATCGCTTTCTTTAATGATAAGCTTTCATTTTCGTTTGAAAGTTATAATTTAGCTGGCTTTCCTTAGTTAATTAATAATTTTAATAGTCATTAAATTTTCAACTTATTTCACCATTTTTTAAAATTGTCAAACACAATTTAAACACTTCATTCTAATTTTGACTTAAGATTATACTATAGTATAAAAATTGGCGTTTATTTGTAGAATTGCTCATATGAGCAATTCTACAAATAAACGCAAATCAGGCGGCCAAACAAAACTTTTTTTGGGGGGGGGTGTTATATAATGTATGATATTATATATATAATATTATATGTATATACACTTTTCTTTAATTTAAACTTTACTCATAATAAAAAAAGCATTTTAATTTTTATTGTATCATTTCTAATATTTGGCGGCACACAAAAGTGCCGCGGCTCAGTGGTTGAGAATCACTGGTCTAGACTAAACCTTTTTTATAAAAAAATCTAATCTAGTTTTTCTTCTTATATCTTAATATTTGTACTCATTAATAGAGCATTAAAGGCCACATTTCAGCACACATTAAGAATATTATTGTTCCTAAGGGAACGTCACCAAATAATACCACGCAACATTTTTTACTTTACTCTTCCCCTTTGTCGCAAAGTGTCACATGTCACGCCATATTATACAAACATATCCATATAGGTCAGAAAAAATTCACGTTTCACATTTTATTTTTAAATTTGACCTACATTTACAATGAAATTTCTGAGCATAAAAATAATGATGATTAAATGTGCGCTTATTTTGATGGAAAGAAAAGGAAAAATTGGAAAATAAATAAATAAAAGCATATTTGGTCAAAAATGTGGGATGTCACACTAGTCAGAGCCCCGCCCTCCCCTCCAAGCGTAACATCATTCGTGGACGGCCCCTAAGAGGTTTTATAGTTTTCATTTTTTAAAACATATAGAACACAAAAATATCATTTGAAACGAAAATTCACACATTGAATTTAGGGTTCTTCAAAACTTGCCCCGCTCTTCACTATTTGCCAGCTATAGCGATTTTAATGAATTTGTACATTCAGTTTTAACTGAATGTACAAATAAAATTTATGAAATAAAAAATAAAATAAAATAAAATAAATAATTTATTGCAAGATGTAACTTATCTTACGAATGATTTGATAGCCAAGTGCGAAATTCTCAAATCATAATTGGCATCATTATACTAAGCGAGAGCTACAATTTTTGAATGAATGTTATTTTGGATATCAATTAAACCAACATAAAAAATAATACAATGCTGGCAAAAAAAAAAAAAAAAAAAAAAAAATTTTTGNAAAAAAATTCTGTGAAACGTAAATACAACTACGAGTGTAATGTTTGAGATTTTTCTGGCCAAAAAATCGCACACGTTCAACACAACTACGAGCGTAAAGGTGTAAAGATTTCTTTTGGACGAAACTGTATTTTTTGCATAAGTAGGGTAAATAAATTAGTGGAGGAACATTTCATACATATTTTTAAAAAATAAGATTTTAAAAGATTTTACTTAAGGCCTGGTTTCTTAGGACAGGACGCCGTCAGCTGGAAATCAGCGCTAACCTCTGATTAGTCCATTTGTGAGTTTGATAGTATACGTCATCGAACGCTCATCTTGAACTACAATTGCCGTCCAACTCAACTGCAGTTGGATTACAACGTGACGTTAACCACAGAAGCAATGGCGGACAACATCCAACAGCTCATTGAAATCAGCCAAGATTTAATTTTGACATTAAACATAGCTTCTTCATTAAACATAGCACTCCTCATTTAGCTCAGCTATAATGTGTTTTTTCTTGGACAAACTCATTATTTGTTCTCTAAAACACTGGTCGACAATAAAAAAATCAATACAAATTCAAAATAAATATTTGTTTACGTTATTAACGCACGCTCAATGAGAGATAATATCTGCGTTGGACCGACTGCTCACACTGAGCTAACAAAAAAGTATTTTTTGGCGTCAGTTCTACGTCAACTTTCCGCTGACGCCCAGATAAGGCGCTTGTCCTAAGAAACCAGACCTTTAGATTGATTGGTAACAGCAGCTTACTACCTAACAATAGGAAGTCATCTAACAATGAATTGAGTTACCTGGTCATATAGTCTTCTCGGGAAAAAATTTTGAATTTGTTAGTATCTGTGCAACACTTTGTTTCTTTGTCAAAATTATAAGGTCATTGTTTGTAGTTTTCCGTTTAAAATGCAATTTATTACATGTAATAATTTTATTTTTATCACTGTGAACGCACTTTCTCTGAATAAATATACTATTTTTTTCAACGGATCCCGATTTCTGACATCCAAAATATAGGGGGTAGCCGGAATCTGAGAAATATGAGCATAATTTGGTCAGGAGAGCGATCCAAAGTTTGGATCCCTAAATGCCAGTTTCACTTTTTTGGTTGTTCGCCATGCAGCAAAAACTTTTTAAGCGAATTGAATACTTCTTTCACAAAATTATAAAGCACGATTATTCAGAGATAATTATAAGTGAAAAATATATTTTAGCAAATCTTTATTTTTTAATATTTTTTTTAAGAAAGGCCGAAAACATTTCGAATTGCAAAGGATATAACATTTTACATAACTTCAGTGAATGTAATTTTCTATCACAAAATATAAAATTCAAATAGGAGCTGAGAAATTTTAAATATACGACTTTTTTGTTTAAAATATTAGAACTTATTAACTTATATTGTTTGCACCAATTAATTAGCATATTTGAGATCATCCCTTTGACCATAAAGTTTGAATCTTAGAACATGTAAATCAGAGGTTAAATCTAAAGTTATTCAAACTAGTCCGCTTTTTTATTTATTTTTTAATTTTTTTTTTATTTAGTGCATTGTATATGTTAAAAAAATGAAAATAACATTTTTAAAAACCACGTTTTTGTAGTGGAGAATAATATTAAAAAACAAAAATTTGAAAAACTTGGGGCGCATGAAATACATAACAGTAACGGTATGTGTGCTCATGAGAATATGTGCATGTATATCTTTAATTGTATCTGAATGTGGATATGTATGTTTAATATGTTTGTGTATATGCATGTGTATGTGGATGTATATGTGGATGTGGTTTTGCATGTGTATGAGTAAGAAAATGTGTATATGTATGTGTATATGTACTATTATGTATTTTATGCCCCCACCCCCACGTTTTTCGTTTTTCAATTTTTGTTTTTTAATTATTATTCTCCACTACAAAAACGTGGTTTTTAAAAATAATAATATTTTCTTCTTTGTACTCACTTCCAAAATCTCAATCTTTTCACTCACTGTACACAAAACTTTTAAACTGACATGTGACACTAATTTGAAATAATCGAATCTACAACAAAAGACAATCACGAAAATATTAATTTTTCTTCAATTTTATTTTACTTTGTATGTCTTTTTCTCTTCATTTTCATACATTGTCATCCAATTCTGAACTATGTGCTAAATTTGAAGTCTGCNTCCAATTTTTGTTTTTTAATTATTATTCTCCACTACAAAAACGTGGTTTTTAAAAATAATAATTTTTTCTTCTTTGTACTCACTTCCAAAATCTCAATTTTTTCATTCACTGTACACAAAACTTTTTAACTGACATGTGACACTAATTTGAAATAATCGAATCTACAACAAAAGACAATCACAAAAATATTAATTTTTCTTTAATTTTATTTTACTTTGTATGTCTTTTTTTCTTCATTTTCATACATTGTCATCCAATTCTGAACTATGTGCTAAATTTGAAGTCTGTAGCTAGTCGGGAAGTTAGTTTAAAATCGATTACAAAATTCCACCCGAACAGACATACACGAAGGCAAATTAATATAAACGTGGTAGTAATATAATTGGGTTAACCTTTTTAATAACAATTAAAAATTGCAAGAAAGGTAAG